GTTCAACAACGGTCTTGACCTTGAGTTGAAAGGATGTCTTTAGTTTTCAAGGTTCAATGTACACATATACATGTAACACCTTTGATCTCTGCTGCTAGTACCGGTATTATGAAGCAAATCAAAATGTCCACGGTACAGTAAGAGGGAAACTTCAATGTTCAGTGATTTCAGTGAATGAGATTCAAGTCAAATCTAGACTAGTACTGGTGTTCAGTAGTCTCTTGTCCAGCACCAGATATTTCTGAAGTTCACTACTGCTTGAAGATAAAGATGGAATGAACTGATGACTACATTGCAATCCACAGTGTTGAAGATGATAACAACTTAGTGACCAGCTAGAGCACGATATCTTCAATTGTTACAACATCTTGCCCAAAATCAAGCTCAACTTATTCGTTTTCTTTTGCAAAGTTTGCAAAACAGGCTGCTGCCAAATTCTTCCAATCGCAGATAAAAGTTTCTTCACAGCAGCAAAATCACATTTAAGAAGTTCTCATTCAGAAAATTTGATCAGATCCAGTAACAGTCAAATTACATGTAGGTGCAGAAGTAAAACGTTAAATACATCTGCGCAACAATGTGTCCAGAGCAATTACTCAGTGAGCAAAAAGCTCAGTCGGGAAGTCAATCCTGTCCATTCACAGCAGAACCTGGATCCTAAAATCTTAATTTCTAAAACAAGCTCCTCCCATTGCCACACCTGCTGAACATTAGCAGAAAACTGCAGGCCTGCTGTCCTTATCAAGGTCAAGACTTTACAAAGCCTAGAACACCAAACCAGCACACTGAAAGCAGTGATCAGGCTTCAAGATTCTGCCTTCTCAGAGTTTTTTTTCTGCAAGCTGAGCTGGTGACTAACTTGTCATTGGTTCATAGTGTGGAGCTATCACATCATCATCTGTCACTCACTTGGTTTGTTGAATACCTGGAGAAGTTGACACCACACATCTATTGGCCCTTGCCTCAGCTAAACAAACATTGAGTGATAGTGATAACTCATTGGTAAAACTGAATGGCACTTTACACACATGTACCGGTACCATAGAGTATACACCAATGATGTCTAATAATGCAACTTGTACACAGCTGTATGCCAACGCTCAGTCAGTGTCAACTCACCCAACCTCCTCCCCTCACCTCAACCCCTGTGGTAGTAAGCATCCCATTGGCTGCAAGGCTAACTGTCTAGCCCAGCCAGCCAATCAGCAGCCTTGCTATAGACACCTTAGACTGCCCCCTGAGGGGTTGGCCTAATCTAATGCCTGTAACATATGTATCTAATTTGTGGCATGGAGCCAGTTTCAACAGCATTGCATATTTTGTTCCTTCCTGAGCATGCTGGAATTGAGACTAGTTACTGATAGTAGGTGAGAACAGAGATGAGACTGGAGAATGAAACTAGCTTATTGTTATGAGATATAAAAACATGACACGTTTAATTGGTCTGTTTAAGTGATGAGATTTTTGTTATCTAAAGGTTCAAAAATATTAACCTACATGTACATGTACATGTATGTATGTACGTGACATTAGGAATAAAGTTAGCTGTCTTTAGTTTTGAAATGTTGGCTACCATGAGTCATTCTTCAAAATATGACAAGTCCCACGTCAGAATCCAACTTGTGAAGAGACTCTTAAATGATGGAATAGTTAGTTTTATTGCCATCCCCAGCATTACCACAGTCAACCCAGAATGCTGACCTCAAAAATTCACATGGAAACAATCAACAACCTTCAGGAAAAAAATATCAGCATAAATTTTTATGTTAATTTTCTGAGTAGGCTGGGTTTCCATTCCACAACTCCTGAGGGTTTTGACCTAATTCTTGCCGTTAATTCCCAAATGTCATGGCTTATGAGGACCTGACATAGTGCAATCACACAGGGATGGGGGACCAGGAATCTTGCCTTGGCAAGGATGTTATTAAGGACATGAGGTACAATTAGAGTTTCTCATCTTAAAGAGATGTTCTATACAAGTTGGTGAAGAAATGTAAACGTGTTGACACTATTGCTGGCCAAAGTAAGGCATGATATTTGCAATGATACAAAAAATACATGTGACTACGGCTAACCCCCACAAAAAAATTTCCTTTAACCAAAACTCCATCGGCCATACTACTAGGAGACAGGAAGAGTTTAGGCCTATGTCAGAGCTATCAGGCAAAAACACAAGGTATCATCAACCAAATGATCTCACCATATCATTGGTCACACCATGAAGTAAACTAACATATTGTGGATAGTTGCTGCACCACAAAGTGACATATCATGTGCACAAAGTCCATAGACAATCCGTCACTTCACAGTGTGACAAAATGTATTCATCAAGTAATGATGCACCCAACGATATGAAAGTGCGGTTTTCTGACTGCCAGTGTTTGCTCACACACTACACAGGAACAGTTAACTCACCAAAAAAAGTACATCACAGAATTTTTGACTGCCACATACAGTATGTAAAACCAATTACTGTATGCCAATAGAGGGCAGCATTTGCCCCACAAACTACATCCCCAAAGAGTCAAGCCACATCATACAGTCTCCTCTCATATAACCTGTCTATAAATGCCAACATGAAATGGAAACAAAATAAAAAACTAATAAAGACAAAGTGGAATGGGCCGACAAAGTATTGCAAACATGCAACCTGAATAAAACTCACATCACAGGTATTTATTTGTTTGTTATTTACCCCTCCACACCTGTGTTCACAGGCCAATGTCCTAGGTCTCCATGTCCTATCTTTCAACTGACGCCGCCGTCACTATTTTTTTCCTTTTATTAGTCACTAGAGATTTCATCCAGTCCTCCAAACGATTGCCAAGTTCAGCACTCTCGGTCATTTATCTTTCCCGTCCAGAGTGATTTATTTCCCATCCACTTCGCCAAGGGTAATTATTTCAAACTTTTCTTTCGGTCAGGGAGTAGCTTTTGCTTCTCTGGGTGCTTCAGAAGTTTGTTTTACTCAGTCTGGAAATGTCAAAGTTTTATCGATTTGTTTGCCGTCATTAATACCAAGTTGCCGGCTTTTTATGACTGTGCGCTGAATTCCTTTCAGTAAGGTCATTTTCATGGAGCTAGGCTTTTAGCTTTCTTAGTCTCTCTATCAAGTCAACAGACAGTCACACACGTGTGCTTAACAGTGACACACACTTGGGCTCAGGTTGAACTTTAACTTACATGAATTTCAAATTCTCATCCAACTGTATTGTACTTAAATTTCCGAAATTCCAGGCGAACTATTCACAACTTCTCCAAAATCTTTTTAGTGTTTAAATAAGAATATAAAGAGGTTGAAAAATGGTCAATTGAAAAAGGCAGATGTGTGCACAAGTAAAAGGAAGTTATCTCATGTTCAATGGGCATACGGTACATCACTTACTGATGTTTTAAGTACAACCTCCTGATGATGGGAAAAAATGTCTTAAGAAGTCGATTTTACACCCCATTCACAGATAAAATAAAGAAAGGATTTTGTTGAGTTTCTGGCAGCCAAAAGATAGAGAGATAAATCTGTGCATTGTCTGTACACTGACTGTCCAGTTTACTGTCGCTTCAAGTCTTTGCAATGAAGTTAGTCATCCGTGCTCCTGACTTACAATACTCTTTATCCCTTTGACAAGCGCGGGAGCAAGACTTTCTTAAGTGCAGGATCAGGGAGGTAAGTTTCTGGAGCATGCAGCAGTGTGGATCTTTCAGGGTTCCTTGTCCATGTTAATTATTTTTATATCACTGCCACTTACCTAAGGAATTAACGGTCTGGTGATTTTTTGCAATTCATGGTTGGGAAATGGTTAGGAGCTAGAGCTTAGATCATTTATATGGGAGGATATTTGAAGGAACTGGTCGACGTGAAGGATGGTGGGGGGGGGGGGGAAGAGAAATGAAGCAGAGGAGAACTGAGTTGAATGGCCGTACGGTGAACTAGGATTGTCATAAACTTTGAAGAAGACGTTTCATGACATGCTCTGACATCATAACAAAAAAAGAAAATTAAATTGCTTCTTGATTTCAGTCACAAATTCCAATGCTTTTCACATTATAAGCCAACCAAGACCACGCAGCAAATGAAATCATTCACAGCAAACTCCATTCGTTTGCACTACACTTTCTGGTTCTAAATGACGTCACACTTTGGTACTCTATAGTTAGCCATATAACATTGGTTCAGAATGCCACCTGTTAAGGAAAGCTACTGTATAGACCCTTTGCATTTGGCAGCCATCTTTGAGGTTCTTTGGTCATTTCAATTAAGTAGCAACGCACAAGAGGTCTACTCATGAATGCATCCATGTGAAACACACAAATGCACAGGTCCCAAAGATGGCTGCAATGCAAAGAAAGATTTGTATATGCACCTTTTTCATTAAAGATGTTTTATTCCCGACTTTCATCCCAACAATTGTATTCCTTTTCTAAATTGTTATTTTTGTGGAAATACAAAAGTTATTCACTTTTGAACGAGGCAACGACCTAAACAAAATGTGTTTAGCTACCGGTATGTTTAGTTATTGAATTATTACTTTACTATTTCTTATTATTGGCTGCCAGACAATAATTCTGTTCCCACCGGGTAGGCTGGTTCCCACCCATGGGCGTAGCTTACCCCCCCCCCCCCCCCCCCCCGGACAAGTAACAACTAAAAACAAAAAAAAGGAGGGGAAAAAAGGGGGGGGGGGAAGAGGCGCGAAATCATATTGTTGTTAATTTAATGGGTTGGGGGGGGGGGGCAAATGTCCCTGCCCACCCTCGAAAAAAATGACAAATCTGGAAAATGCTGGAAATTATAGGGATTTGGGAGAAAAAATGTGCTTTGCAAAAAAAATCCTGGCGACGCCCATGTTCCCGCCTCACAATCAGTATCAGTAATGTAAGAACCAGGAGCTACAGGTAGTCTGTTCACAAACGACGGTAACATTCATTTTGTTTCATAATCGGTGTGCCAATGGGTCAGTGATGAATTCAGAATTCATGTACAAGTACATTGGACCACCCACCTGCCAGATTCAATGTCCATGCACCCCTTACAGCTGAGAAGACACGACTACCTGATCTGTAAAGAGATGAGAGGAGAATACTGAGTACTGAGCATTTCCTGATTCCAGTTTCTCATTTGTGCTTTATGTGTTAGAGTCTTATCTAAAAATAGAGTCCATTAAAGTAAAAACATCTCAAGGAGAAAAAAAGAAAAATGTAGGCCTACATACATTGTACAGCAATACGAACTTCTGGGCAATTCTACTATAGGAGCTTTAGCAAGTGAGGTTTGCAATTTTGGATGTTTTTTGGAAATGCCTTATTTCACAAAGTTGGATTAAATTGGTAAACTGCAATTTGTGTTTCCATTAACAAAAATCATTACATTGTCCAACAAAGTGGAAATACTGTGAACCTGATGACAAAATACAAATGGAAAGACTAACCTCAGTTTTCAAGGCTAGACTACATTGAAGTTACTGTGTGGCATCAACACATTCACAACAAAAATACCTCCATGTCATAAGATTCATATGATTTCCAATAAAAAAAAAACATTGTCATATACTGTGTAATTTCTACTTCTTAACGGCAAAGTCTGCCCTCTCCTGACATTACACAACATCAGTGACTGGTGCTTGATGTATTGACAGATCATAGGCAATTACACCAAACACATATTTCACAGTTTATTTACAAAGTGGTCTAGAAGTCACAACACAGTGGTCACTATCAGATGATGGAAGGTCATCTAGGCAATGGTCCAGAGGGTCAGTGGAAAGTCATGTAGGCATATGCCCAGAGTGTCAGTGGGAAGTCATGTAGGCATTTGCCCAGAGGGTTGGTGGGAAGTCATGTAGGCATATGCCCAGAGGGTCAGTGGGAAGTCATGTACGCATATGCCCAGAGGTCCAGTGGGAATTCAAACCATTTCCAAGGTCTATGTTACTTTTTATGATACAGCTGAAAACCAGTTGTCAAAAACCCACTGAGTTACTTGTACAACCTGATACTGAAAAGAAGACTTACATGTACATCTTAAAAGCAAAATGTTGAAGATTAAAACAATGAAACCAGCTGGACCAAATTTGAGGCCAAAAGTTTTGGGAGCTGCTTTTTTGGCAGAACACGTCAATTGTTGTTGCGACTTTGGTAGCATACCGGTATATGACTTACATCCTAAGAGTAGACAATATGAGGAAACTTTCAAATGCAAGTTTATATTAAGGGCCCATGCAATGTAGTTATCTCCACCAAGGAGATTATGTTTTCATCGTGTTGGTTGGTTGGTTGGTTGGTTGGTGTGTCTGATTACAAGATAACTCAAAATGTTATGGACGGATATGCAGGAAAAAATTCTCTCACCCCACCGAAGGGTTCCACATTGGCAGAAAATGGTGGGCTGGAAATTGTGTAGCCTTGTCCGAGGTTTGCACTCTCGGAGTGCTTTCTAGTTTTCAAATGCAATTCTTGGAAATGTACCTTTGTATCCCACTGAACCCTATTTCCAATTATCGATTTGCCATTTTGAAAGGTATTTGGGTGCATTTTTTGGTTTTTATGCTAATTCAAATTAGTTTTATAGGTGAGATGTCTATGCTTTGGAGATTTGCAATTGTTATGTCAATACATGGCAGTAAGCCAATGAGCAAACTTTTCTCACAAACATTTTCCATCAGCAAATTTTAGGTTTCACAATTTCAACAGAAAAACCCTAAACTGAAGAATGTCTGCCTGAAATGACATCACAGCAACAGCGCCCTCAGTTGTCAGGACAAACCAGGAAATTTGTTATGTTTTTAAGAAGTGCACTTTTCAATAAAATTTAGTTTAACCAAAAAAGGGGTGTCAAATAATTTTCATACATTTAAGAGGAGTAGAAAGTTGCACAACATGTGTTTAAATTGGTGCTGTGTCCTTTTTTGGTAATGCAAATTACCAATAAAAAACCTATTGCCAAACCACCAGAACTTGATTTTGTTGACCTGTGTTTTGTAGTTACTGTATAACCACTTAATTTCAAGGGACCTTTTGTGAGAAAATTTGCTTTGACTTTATACCATTAACAGCACAGAGTTGATGGACACCCCCCCCCCCATGTAATTCAAGTTACCATGGAATTGCCCGTGTGTACTCATTACTCAGCCAATCTCCTCACACAACTCACTATAAAGAAATCCATCATTGCTGAACTTGAAACAGATGGTCTTGATTTGAGTCTGTGCGGGACGTTTTATCCCGATCCATTATCAGCATGTCAATAGTCATCTGTAGCTTACATCAAGAAAAGGCAAATCCTAAACAACCCCAGAGACGACTGGAGGCAAAGGTTAAACCTCACTTCCGATCATTTTTAAAGATAACGCTGCTCCTAGACCCAGGTTATCTTAATGGCAAAGATCTTTTTTTCGGCCAGGAGGGGGGGGGGATGTTTCCATCTGTGACTGTATTGCAAACTTTTTTCCTTGCTCGCTTACCAATAACATTTACCGGTACATGCTGGCTTGTAAGTTGTACATGTATGTTTCTTCCCTTTTTCTCACTTTGTCCCTAGTGTTAATGTACAAGTTTGTATACTGATCTTGCCTGGGATTATTAAAGTACATAGATATATGTCTTTAGATGCATATTTACGTTCTCAGCAGTAAAAATGAAAACCAGTACTTTTATTGACAGACACCACATTTCCCAAACAAACATGTTAATCAATTCTAGTGTGATTTTCCTTACCCTCATAGTCATAGGCTACTGGTACCACCCCCTTCAGTTCATGTACAATGTTCATTTTTGTGTATTTGCACAGATTCAATGGATAAAGACTTACGTGTGTACATGTAAACTTTTGTTAACGATGTCTAGCTTTAGCCAGATTTCATGTAAGTGCACTTCACCTCAAGTGCTGCAGCCCCACTTCCCCAGCCACCATGCCTAGACACCTAGTGATGGACTGGGGGAAACATGATGACCTTACACTTAAAGGGAACACACAACATTTGCTTTTGCTGTAATTTCAGAAATGGATTGATTTGGGGGATAAGTATTTCATAGGAAATATTGTTACACTTACTTGTTTGCATTTTTGCATTCATAAATGCTGGACAAACCAAGATAAACAATAACGTTCCTTTAGTCTGGTTCCCTGACCCCACATAAGATGAAACAAGGCAATTAATAGACATCGGGGAATTGTAAGGTCAGGGAAACAGTCTAGCTGGCTTGTACCCATTCATAGGTGGGTGTGTTATCCATTGCAAACAAAATGTAGAACAACTAAATATGGTAAATTGGGGCCAGTATATGCAAAAAAAACCCAGTTTTTTTCCAACGCTGGTCTATAAACAGCATACCTATGTAAACCTTCAAATATAAATCTGGCAAATTTGCATTTTTCAAAAACTGAATTCCCATCTGATTTCACAGAAGTCAAGTGATCCACATCATCCATCATATTTCTTCCTACAAGATTTTGATTGTTTCAATCTATAGTCAACAAACCAAAAAACCCTTGACCCCAGCCTAACCTTATGACCTAGGCTGACCTCAACTGACCTCAGCTACCAGAGGACTTATAAACCTAATGCCCTGCATTGGTCTGGCTTCCATCATTGGTCTGGTATTTACCTCTGTAATGATTGATATGGGCAGTAGATTGAGGTGTAAGACAAGATGCCATATCTGATCTTGAGACGGGGGCTATTAATCTTGATTTCAACACTGGATAGTTGAGCATATTTACTGCAAGTACTGATCATATTTTAGGTTGTGAGCTGTCATGTTCAAGGCTTTGCCTTTGTGCATTGCATGGGTACTGTTCTGAGTTGATTGCAACTCTTTAAATTGACATTTTCATTTAAAGGGTTGGACGTGGGCACAGGCAGCTCATGATGGGAGCTTTCCAGATGTGCTGGCATTGTGTGCTACCAAGATCTCAGTTTTGAGATGTTCACACTGACACTGTAGAGTTTCACATTCTCGTTTTGATGGCCATTAATATTTGGATGTGGACAACCAATGACAAGTTTGACAATAAAAATGCTTTCAGTAACGATTCAGCATCAAAAAGGAATCAAGTTCAACAAATTAATTTCAGCACTTGATAGTTCACACTTTTTATTTCAAGAGTCATAAATGTTTTATTTGTGAGAGCAAATGACAATTGTTTCCAATAAGATGTCAAACAAATTAATTGATAGTTTACTGTTTTCGTTTTAAGGGTTGTAATTTTTCTGTCTGTGACAGTAAATGGTAGCCAACTAGCCAGCCGTCTGCATTACCGATGCACTTTTTCAGTGTTTGTGATGGAATGTACTGCATAGTTGCGTCCAAACAAATTGACATCAGTATTTCAGCACATCAGTTTAACGCCTTCATAACTCTGAAATGTTAAAGGTCTGTATCTCACACACAGCCTAAGGCTGTGATTATTGGTCCAGAAGTCCAACCAAATGTAATAGAATATCTTCATTCAAGTCTTGTCAATATCTACATTCCATTCTTTCAGACATACTCTACCGATGTCCATTTTGATTGAATCAACACACTGCTCATAAAAATGACAAACAAACACAATTTTGTTGTTTAACTGAAATAAAGTTTAATGCTAGGTGGGTCTCGGCGGGATCTTTTTGAAAGCCTTTTGAGGAAGATTTGGTTACTAATACTAAGGATAAAAGTTGTTCGGCCCATATGCACATGTATACGAGTTCTATGTTTCAGGTCACTCAATTGTTACATGTACCGGTAGTAAGCAGTTTGCAAACCAAGAAGAAGGATTTCTTTATTTGTATTTTAAAACTTATATCTTCCAATATTTGGATAAAAACTTTCAGTAAATCCATGTGTTGTATGTCGGCGGCCTACATGTATGTCATGTTTCTGTCAATTGTCGGATGTTTCCCTTGTTTCTCCTTGTTTCCATACCAAGCTAAAAATTGACCCAATGAATGACCAGGAATTGTGTTGATCAAATTGGAAATAAACCACCATCTCCCTCACATCATGGAGCTATAATTTTATAGCTCCATGCTCACATCCAAGTCCAACCATTTTTGACCGAACCAATTGAGGACTCTGCAA